ATTCGACTGCAAACCACAACCTGATGAGATAAAATCACAAGTGAAACGATGTTACATTCCTAAATATTGCCCTGTTGGGACAGTTGGGGTATACGTGATGAACTGAAACAACTTTGGCGTAGATGCGACGTTTCAATGAACTTGAAAGGTCGTGTATATTGCGCTACCGTTCGTTCAGTTCTGCTTTATGGTTGTGAGACCTTGAATTTGCGAGTAGAAGATATCCATCGACTAGAAGTTTTCGATCATCGGTGTATACATAGTTTAGCTGACGTGGGATTGAGCGAATGGGTTAGCAAGCTAGGGTGAACCGTCATGTATTTGGGAGTCTATTAGGGGTAAACCTGCTAGCACATCGAAATCAAATTAGTAGACTTCGCTGGCTAGGACGCGTATTGCTTATGCCCAACTGTCGTCTGCTGCACCGTGCTTTATTCACTGTAGCCGCATCGGGCTGGAGGAAACCACATGGAGGTCAACAGATGAAGCTGAGACGAGAAATAGAGAAGAAATGCACTGAGCTGTTAGATAGAGTATGTGTCACGCGCCTTCCAGGTGGTTGTCCGGAAGACTGCAACTGGTTGGTTGGATATAGCGGCGAACCCAAAGCAGTGGTGTTGTAGTTGTCATTTCTTATCATCCCAGAATGCTTGAAACGAGATGTATGTAAAGTTCGATCGTGTACTCTATGTGCTGACCATAGAGTTTCACCTTCTCTCTCCCTCAGAATTGATCTACCTTCCATTACAGTAAGATATTCACTAATGAGGTCTCCATCTGGTTTCGGTGTTTCTGAATTTTTCGTTTTCTTTCTCAAAGCTCGGTTGCGAATGGGTGAACAACACGATCGCTGCGGTTACTTTTGATACATCGCTTCACTTGTTCAGCGCATCTGATTTATCAGCTCTTGATTCACCTCGGACAATCTATTATGGTCATTCAATGCATATAACGTGTGCAGTGTTTGATCCACAAACGAAACGCTTGCTCACCGCCTCATCCGATGCAAGTGTTGGGTCTTGGGACATGGACAAAGGTCAAGCGGAGATGTTCTCTGGCGCTCAAGCGCATACTGCACAAGTTCAATCTATGGGGTTGTTCTCGGATAAGATAGTCACTGTCGGTTTTGATGATCGTTGTGTCCTTTCGGATGTCATGAGCCGATCTTATGTGTAAGTTTGCACGTTGATTTTGATACAGCATTTATTTAATTGTCATTATTTTTATTGGAATTATTCCTAGTAGTCCAAATATCTTGCAGTGTTACTACCAAAGCTAATTGTAACGTGTCAAAACTCAGATCGAATTGAAACTAGTTATCTTTCTTAACATTCTGTCACTCTGATGTTAATGGGAGTGATGTGGATTATGAGAAATCAGATGAAAACGAAGCTATTTTAACTTGTGATGGTTTGCGTACCTGGTAAACCTAGCCCACCTTGTTGAATGGCGCCCTATTGCATGAATGGAGAGCAATTCACGACAAAGCCTCAGTATGGTCGGGGGTGGGTGTCTAGGATTGCGGCTGGTCACCCTTCCCTTGCACCTCGCGAAATGCTCCCATATGACCCAGTGTCTCAAATAGACTCTGCTGAGGAAGCCCTACTCAGTGCCTTCTCGTGGCGGTGTTTTCTCACCAATGTGAGAGGATGAAAAGCCGACATCCGGAGCTATGACCGGGTTGGTGGACCACTGGTAGTTCACCTAAGGAGTTGGCCAAAAACTCTGATTTCAAACCAACCATGAGGAGGTGTACGAACCACACCCACACCTTTTCGGTTGTGGCAGTGGTNTTGGGATTTGAGGTGTATTGGGCACCTTGGACGTTTGACCGCGTCCGAAGGGCGTATGATGAACTGGACACCGGCTCCCAATGGACTGCAGTTTTCACACACCGCCCCGCTGTCTTGCGGGTCAGGCTTTGGCTAGCCAAAGGCTCCGGTTGTGGACTCCTCAAGAAAATTTACCTACCTTGGCTTGGACAACCTGGTAATATTCAGCCCACAAGCCAACCGTGGAACGTTTTTTCTTTTATAAAAAGATTTCTGTACCATGATTTACCTGCCACACAGTCTATCCTCAGTCAAGTGTGAAATATAATAATATAACAATTCACGACAAGCAGATCGATGAGCATAACTGAAAGGTATGGATTAAAGTTTTCCAGGATCTAGTGTCAATCGACTACCACAGTAGTGGTTCGATAATGTTACCATTGAGAGTCATGCTCAGTTACTTTTCGGACATACCTTGGAGTTTTCATGTACTATTCGTGAAACAAAATCCTTTGTTTCATAGGCTCCTGTGAAATTCGGGGCACATGCAAGTTTACATCTTTTCTCACTAATAGTTCGTCTTGAGTTCGATCATACCGTTTTTCTCAGTCGTTTAGGCCATGGTTAATCCTTCGTTCATTGGTTGGCAAACAAGCACAGTGCCAACGCGATACACAAACACAAAGTAAACCACATCGTACAGCGCTACGAAAACACTAAGCATAAAAAACTTTGATGATTTGAGCTTCTGAAAGATATGCGATAGTACGTCATCGAGTGTGGCACTTCTCTTAAATTTCCATTATGAATCTATACGCGCAAATTAGTGAGACTTTTTTTTCACACCTAGGTGTGATGAACAGCAGACGGGGTAAACCCCATAGTCACGAGGACCTGC